AAGTATATTATATAATTATTAAGAAGTATATTATATAATTATTTTTCAATGACAGTTTACTTAATATTTCAAATAAATATTTCATACGATTCTAATTATTTAATTAATTAATTTGTCTAATAGTCTGTATCAATTACCACATTTTATATTATGTATATTCCATTACGATATAACGTCTGACATCTGACTTTCGTGAAAGCCCTGACATTTGTAGGTTTTCGTTTCTAGATCACCTAAATAAATGAAGTCCAGCTTAAATATTTGAACTGTAGACCAGAAGACTTTCAAGACCTTAAATATTTTAACTGTAGACCAGAAGATTTTCAAAAAGTCTTCTAGAACCGTCTCGACCATACAAAAATACGTCCTACGACCTGACCTCCATTAATTTCACGTCTAGCAATAAATATAATATGATTTATTAGTTAACATTAAACAAAATTACGTTTTTTACGACCTGACCTCCATTAATTTCACGTCTAGCAATAAATATAATACGATTTATTAGTCAACATTACATTAGTAACGAAAGAGACACATTTTCATTCTTTTTTCACTTTCTCCCACAGTTTTCTCTTTCCCATTACAACACCACCAAATAATAATGACACATTGCATAATGTATTTTTTAGTTTATCTTTTTAATGCATTTTCCACGTGTATAGGTGAAATTTTCCGGTATAAAGTTGGCACGAGAAAGTATAATCAAGCAAGAACAAACTAAGATAAAATAAACTATAATACAAGAATAAATATTTCATCGTGACGAAACTAAAATTAGAAACGATTCAGAGTGAATTACATTTACATTGATAACTGTATCATACGTCGATGCAATTTTTATTAGTATTGGAAATTCATGTCATCTTTTATTATCTCACTCCTCGGTGCTTGCCAAAGGAAAATTATTTATTTATTTCAATTTTCTGTAATTTGAATATAAATTCCAACTACTGAGCAAAAGTTGAAAATCCACTTTAAGTAGACAGGAAGATGATTACATGCGTGACATTTGTAGTATAAGGTTGTTAGAAACATATTCTAAATAGTGAGTTGTTTCATCCATGAAATATTCCCAACTAACATTGTACTTTGGATGTTTCGTGTACGTTTTGCATATTTCTGCATCTTTAAACTTTTCATGAATATCTACAGTCTAGTAATAACATTTTATTAATTCTTCGTCGTTGCAAAATTTCCATTTATACTCGTATTCTAAGCGTTCAAGTTAGACATATATGACATTTTGATTATAACATGAATGTTTGTACATATTAAATTAATTGTAGTAATCATTAAACGATAATTATTAATGGAATTAATTTTCCTTTGCATAATATCCACGTTATATATGTAAAACAATGATTACATTAATTAATATTTAATTGACGTATAATTAATCTAAATTAAATATTTTATTAGATTTTCTGAGAAATTAGAAAAATAATTTTTTCGTAGCCTTCACATTTCTAATTACATACTTATCCCTCCAGTTTGCTTTTCTCTTCCCTAAAACTAAAGATACTGAATTAATTGTCGCTGCGGACAATTTTTAAATCCTTCGCGCCTTGCGAAGAATCTTTCTAGACTCGATTAATTGAAATCACTTATCAAACAATTTCCATCATATCTGTGGTCAGTATTGTAATGACGAATGATCACTCACCGTAACACACATGAAAGACGTGTTCAGCATCATTCTCGATCCTTCTCCCACAATTCTTCCTGTGGGACAACCAACAGTTACTGATCACCTGTTCGCCAATGTCAACGTAGAATGCATTTCGAAATATCGCATGTCGATTGTGTTCACGTGCACTTGTTCCTCTTTCTAGTTCTATGAAATCGTTTCTTCAGCTACGAAAACGATTCTTTCCTTCTTGGACGAAGTTAATCAACGTTCGTAATTAATACGTTCGGCACCATTTAGTTCACTTTGAACAAAATCATCCGCCGATTCTGCAACATTTAAGATCGCATATTAGTAATTTGGAAGTCATTTGCTACAAATGTTTCACTAATGATATTGACAATGACGTTGTACTGTTACGTCGAAAATAATTTGCAATTTTATTAGACTTTTTCGAGAAATTAGAGAAATAATTTTTTCGTAGTCTTCACATTGCGCATATCACTAATGATATTGATAATGACGTTGTACTGTTACGTCGAAAATAATTTGCAATTTTATTAGACTTTTTCGAGAAATTAGAGAAATAATTTTTTCGTAGTCTTCACATTTCGCATATCACTAATGATATTGATAATGACGTTGTACTGTTACGTCGAAAATAATTTGCAATTTTATTAGACTTTTTCGAGAAATTAGAGAAATAATTTTTTCGTAGTCTTCACATTTTGCATATCACTAATGATATTGATAATAACTGTACTGTTACGTCGAAAATAATTTGCAATTTTATTAGACTTTTTCGAGAAATTTGAAAAATAATTTTTTCGTAGTTTTCACATCCTGCATTTCTGATTACATACTTATCCTTCAGTTTACTTTTCTCTTCGCTAAAACTAGAGATACTGAATTAATTGTCGGAACTATTTAAATCCTTCGCGCATATGTAAATTTCACGCGAGCGAACTTTCTAGATTCGATTGATTGAAATCACTCGTCAAACAATTTTTACAAATCTCAAAATAAAAAGAAGCATTTCAAACGACGTTCCACGTCAGACAGCGTACATAAATTTCATGCAAGCAGTCTGTTTCTAATCGATTGTCTACTCAACAATATGACATGTTAACTTGTTACATAAGAACAGATCGATGCTTGAAACGATTCTTTAATCGTTTCCAAGCAAAGGAAAACAATTTTCGTTTCAAGTACGATTGCGAGGAATT